ATATTATGTATGTATTAGCTGTTTCTCTTCTGGGGCTGGATGAAATGGTGAAGAGGGCCAGATTTGGCCCGCGGGCCTTGAGTTTGACGTGTTTCAGACCCAGCAGCTGCAGATAAGAAGCTGCCAGGATTCATCAGGACACACCTGAGTTGACGACACGCAGGAGTCCCACTGACCTGCTCCAGCTTCTGTCCCATCGATCGCTCACCGATCGATGGGCCTCGCACCGTTTTCTGCCTCGGCGGCACGCTCCGCGCCGTTTGTTTACCTCGTTGACTCCCGTGTCCAGGTTGTTGACACGTCTTCGCTCGGTGACCTAATCGAGTTAGACGGCGTCTGTTGTCTGAGGCGGAGGAGGAAAAACGTAAATGTCAAGAAGGGATGAGAAGCATTTGGTCCGGAGACCGAGGGGGACCGGAAATCGTTACCAAGATCAGCTTTTTCTTTCCCCCCGCCCCCAAAAACCAGCTTCATGAAGCGAGTTCAGGTTTAATGAACCTGAGAAAGAAATGGAGCCATTTTTAACAGTCTTAAAACCCTTTAAAGTGTTTATAAATCTTTATTGAACTTTACTTTTGTTCTGGTTCTGCTTTTTATTTTTTACACTTGTGCTAACTTCAGCTTCCTCTGTAATCTTTGGTGATTTTAACAGTTTTTCAGGATTTTCAGCCATCTTTTCTGCTTTTATTGTTGTAATTTAAACGTTTGTGCTTCTTTCGGCTGCTCTCTGCTAAGTTTAGCTGTTTGTTTGTGTATTTAGCTACTTTTTAGCTTATTTGAGCTCATTCAGCTTAATTTTTCAGCTAAATGCACCTTAAATTCACCATAATTTCAGCTATTTACTGCTTAGTTCATCCAATGTGCTCTTTCTGTTTCTTTGTGCAGTTTTTAGCTATTTTAAGGCAAGTTTCAGCTTCTTTAGCTATATAAAAACAAATTGCAAATATTTTATACTTCTTTTCTTGTTATTGAGCTCATTTGAGAATTTTCATTTCATTTCCCTGTCTGTTCATTTTAGTGTTTCATCTACTTTTAGCTCATTTTTGCTAAAATCAGCTACTTTATAGCTTATTTTAGCTCTTTTGAGCTTTTTCATCTAAATTCAGCTTACTGATAATTTCAGCTTCTTACTGCTTAAATCATGTAATCTGTTCTTTCTGTTTGTGCAGTTTTCAGCTGTTTTAAGCTATTTTAAGGCAAGTTTCAGCTTTTTTAGCTGCTATAAAACTAATTTCAAGTATTTTGTATTTCTTGTTAATTAAAAAATATTCCTTTCATTTCCCCCTCTGTTAATTTGAACACGTTTCATCTACTTTTAGCTTCTTTTTGCCAATCTTTTTAGCTGTTTTCAGATTGATCTTTCTACTGATTTTTCACTTTTGTGAATTTATCACACGTTAACAGTTTTGCTATTAACGATTTCCAGCTCCTTCAGCAGCTTTCAGCTGTGCTGCATATATATTATACTTTATACTTTATACTGCATTTATATTTATATTTTAGGGTTTACATTCAGTCACAATAAGTGGCAGCTGATTTAACAAACTCTAAAGAATTAGAGAACTATATGATATTAAAATATTCTTTAAGGCCTGCAGGAGAAAAAGCAGGGAAATAATAAAGTAGTGATAACATACAGCGGGTAAAATAAGTATTGAACACGTCACCAAATAACTTCATTTCTGGACATTTATGGTTTGATTTCTTTGTATGTATGGATCACTTGGGTTGTTACCAACATCTGGTGAAAATTTCATGTCATT